GCCCCCCCCCCCCCCCCGCCGCAGTGGGTGCACCGGGCTGGTGCGGGGAGCACTGACAGGTCCCACATGATGCCAGGCTCTCTGCAAGCGCTGGCAGCATAGCAGAGGGAGCTGATTTTTGCAAGCTATCAGGTATTGTCACAAGCAATTTCGGGCTGAAATTAGGAACAAATGGCCATATTTAAACAGAGTAAGTGGGGGGTAGGAGTTAATAATCTGCTTGTGTTTGGTGCCTGCAGGAGTTAGTGCCCAGCATCGCTGCCCGGAGCCGTGCTAGTACAGCTCAGGGCTTGGCCGCGGCGGGGCTGCATCCAGCTCTTCCCGCTGGTTTCGGAGGCTTTGGAGCGGGGCCTGGAGAGCCCTGGAAGTGGAGGACTTGGACACCGCTTGCCTATGCTTTTCTTGGCCCTGGCAGCCACGCAAGTCTTTCGCTTTCATAAGCACCAGCAGATTCATAAACAAAGTCAAGGGAAAATATCTAAAAGCAGCAACGTCAAGAGTTCACACGCTGGGTGACTGAGCAGGAATTCAGGGCTGATGGGATGAAGATAAAAAGCCATAAAACTTCTGTTCCTCAACCACTACCAGAATTTTTTTTTTCTTTTTGAGAATTAAAGTGCAGCAGAGCCCCAGTAAAACTACAACATGCCAAATGGTTTGTCATCAACATCCAGGAAATTTCACGTCCTTCAGGCCACGACTGCATCTTCATCCCCCGCAAGAACAATTCTTCTATAAACGCTGAAGTATGGTGCCTACAGTAATAGCCCACTTAAAATGTCTCATTATTGCAGTTTTACTGGTCATTAGCAGCTGGAATAGACTGATTTCTTATGGGTTATGGTTGAAATAATTACCTGACACTCCGAGCCATTAAAAACCAGTTAATGAGTAGAGGGGGAGAAGGTGCTGACGTGGACACGAGCACTGCGCTGGCTGGAGGGGTTCCTCTGTCGGAAACCAGGCTGAGGTTTGTTGCCTGTGGGATCCAAAGTAATTTAAGTCTGAGGTAAGTTAGGGAAATTGTTAAAAAATTAATCTGATATAAGTTTGACAACAGTCTAGCCAGTGTACCAGTTCTAAAAAGTTCATTTCATGATGTTTTGCTCTGTATATGCTGAGTTGCCTTTTTTTTTTCCTTTTTTAATGGAGCTAATTAGAGGCTGTGTAACTTCCAGAGGAGAAAGGCATCGTGCTCCAGGAGCATTAGCTGCTTCTGAGATACCATGTTCACTCCTAAACCTTGACATGTTCTGTATGCTTTTAATAAAAATGGCATATTAGCTTTAGATGTGGTAAAAGAGTGGAGTAGTTTAAGGGTGAAATACAGATGAAAATTTCTCCATCGGGAGAAATCCAGTGACAGTCTTTGAGCATCCCGTTGGCCCGTGCTGTTGTCTTTGGCTGTTGACCAGTCTTGTTGGAAGAACCATTGGAAGCTCCTGTTTGTGGTAGGTGAAAGACGAGCAGGGCCCGTCACAGAGAAGGATTAAAGCAGGTAAGGTGGGAAGGTGCCTGCTGATACCTAGTGAACCCTGGGTTTCTTCTGCTTGGGTGTCTGGCTCATGGGTGTGTAAGACTTGGGCAATACAGGTGTTCCTCCATAAGGAGTACCTGTAGTGGAGCATCCATCACTTCATGGTAGGTGTTGTCGCTCAGATGGGCGTCACAGTTTTTGTAGTAAGCCAGGCTCGAGCCTTGTGGTCACGTTGTGTTGGTAAGCGTCCCCCCCCACCGATGGTGCTTTGCCCTGGCCGTAAGCCCTGTCCTTCTCCCTGCAGTGCTCCATGCCCGCCTGCGTCACTGCGTTCCACGTCACCTGCGCCTTCGACCACAACCTCGACATGCGGACTATTCTAGCAGACAACGACGAAGTGAAGTTCAAGTCCTTCTGCCTTGAGCACAGCACTGGTGCCACCAAGTTGCCTGAGGAGGCACGGACAGAGCCTGACCAAGCCCAGCTGGACTTGGAGAAGGTCACGCTGCGGAAGCAGAAGCTCCAGCAGCTGGAGGAGGACTTCTATGAACTTGTGAAGCCTTCGGAGGTGGCGGAGAACCTTGACTTAAGCGAATCGCTGGTGGATTTTGTATACCAGTACTGGAAGCTGAAGAGGAAAGCAAATTCCAACAAACCGCTTCTGACACCAAAAACTGATGAAGTGGACAACTTGGCCCAGCAAGAACAGGACGTTCTCTACCGACGCTTAAAGCTCTTCATGCACCTCAGGCAAGACCTGGAGAGGGTGAGTACAGCTTTTCCTTCAGTGGTGTACCCATATGCTCCATCAGGGCTGCTTTAATGTGTGCTGGCGCCCGTAGACAGAATGAGCCCTGTTCCCTGGTGACTCAGTTCGACTCTCCTAACAGTTGTGTCCCTTCATCTAGAGCGTTACTCAGAAGAATAACATTGCTCAGCGTGCGTGTATCATCACTGACAAAACACTGACACTCGTGAAACAAGTTAGTGGCGGTCTCAGCTGGGGGTTCAAAAGACCAAAGGTCTGCGGGGAGAGGTGCATTGGTGGGGCTGGGTGGCTGGGAGGCAGATGATGCTGCTCCACCGAGCTCTTCATAGTCTCAAACCACAAAATTATCCTGTGCTGCCCCTCAGATGCTTTCCAGCAGCAAGGCACAGGAACACTTCATTATTTACTTACATTAAACATCAAAGACAGATGAATGGCAGGAGTGAGCTGCAGGGCCAGCGGGACTGGGCATTCCCTGCCCTGCCGCAGCCAAAAGTGGGTCGGCTCCTGGGGGAGCTGCCGGCGGAGGCAGAGCCGTGCCGGAGGATACAGACAGAGGATGCAGGCTCCCGCAGCTCCCCGTGGCATGGGGCATGCTCGCACAGAGGAGGGAGCAGCTGCCTCCACGGCAGCTTTTTTGGGGAGAACAAACGTCGGTGGAGCAGCAGTACAAAAGTGGTGCCGGAGCCCCTGGGGCTGTGCTCGCTGCTGCACCGCGCTGCCTGCCTGCGTATTT